ATTTCGGTCAAGTTTGTCCCGACAACGGAGCAACACGCGGACCTCCTCACCAAGGCCCTTAGCAGGGCCAGTCTGCAGTATCACCAGCGCAAGCTGATGAATTGCCGGAGTAGCTGTAGCAGTTTCTAGCACTTGGGAGAGGCCATGTTTTCCATGCGGGGAAAGGCGCACAACTGTTGCGGTCTGTGTACCAATGGCAGGAGTAGGGGGCGTTGGGAGACCACCGTCCGGGGGAACGTAGTTCCTCGCGTTCTTGTCTTCGCCTTGGCCTTTCTAATAAGTGCGGCCGTGGTGATCCGCTGTGATAGCGACGGTTTTTTGTGGTGGTTGGGTTTTCTTTTCAGGGGTTTTGCCCGGACGCCGGGTTTCCCCTCCATAGATTACCATGTTGTTGGTATTTTCTGATGTATCCAGGGGTGTTCTTGCCCAATTGATGGTTAGTCACTTGCGTGAAGAACCAGGGAGGGTGTTCGTGGGTCTGCGACCATTGCTGTTGGATACATGTGCTGGATGATTTCGTGTCACGCAGACTGGTAAGATTAACGTTTGGTAGGGGGCACCGCGATGATTCACGGGGCCCTTCCTTGCTGTGGGGGCCGCTCTCTGAGCACTCCCTCTTCCGTCCGTGTGAAGGACGGTCGTCGACCTCTCGTGAAGTTTATAGACGACATCATCAATACAGTCTCACCCGATAAATAAGTGGCGTAGGCCGCAAACAAGACTATGCATATGATGACCAGAAGAGATTTATTTTTATCATATGATGACCACAAGAAGATCCAAAGAACTCTCGTCATCATATTGATTGATTGGATATCGGTCAGCTCTTTGCCACTTAATCAAGTCAGCTTCAATCGAACTCGGGATTGCAAGCAATAAAACTATCTTCGAAAAAATTCTGCCGGACTCCCTCGTTGTTACCAAATAGGGGGGGGCAATGAGCCGCGAATGACGACTCAATACCTTGCAGTAATCTATCTGCGATGCTGCGAGACACGCTGCGTCCAGAAAGCAACCCAGCACGCGCAATTCATCGCGGAATAATATTCGAACAGATCTTCCACGACCTTTTTACCCGCTCCCTCTGGAAGTTTGGTGAAAATACTACTACTCCAAATCAACGGCGGAGGAACACCACGCGCAATACACAACACACACATGGCCCGCATGCTCGCGTCTGCCACACAAGCAGCAATATCTCCAACGATCGGCACCTAACAGTACTGCTGACAGACACAAATGAACATTGGCAGCTGACACGAATGCACTAACTTGAAGTGCTGCTGCTTTGCTGTAATGGCAATGACTCCCATCTACTTGTTCGGCAGTGCATGCATGCGGGAAAAACGACATGGATGGCGTTGGGCACCAAAAAGGCTCTTGTGCCGCTTGAGCACAGCAGTTAGTTTTTTTTATTATTCGTCTACTTTCTAATTATGACTCAGCGAATCCATCTCTATAATATCTAAGAGTCTTACGATAGATTGACAATGAATCCATAGCGTCAGCGAAGGCTACCTATCTTTCCACGGTTTCCCGAGCAGCACACAGCGATATCTTCCCTGTGGGTAACAGGATCATCAAGGCAGTTTGGTAGCCATATCGTGCATTTCTCTGTATGTTGTGCGAGGAAGGTGTAGAGGAACGTGTTGGGTAGGTGGTTCGTCGGGTGTGTTGGTGGCGTCACCCTTGAAGGAACCCAGATGTTTGGCACGTGCGTAGGCACACGGTAAAACATTTACTCCCTGCCCCCGCGTGTTGATCCCTGGCTGGATGCGTAGGTTGGCGTAGGCGAACTTCAGCCGGCGAACGTTGGCGGGTTCAAGCTTGGGTTTTGTGTTGAAACATGCGGGGTATAAGAAATGGGTGACGCTTTCATTTTGAGGTGTCCGTTTGTTCCTGTAGCCTTTGTTGTGCTTTGTTGCAATCCAGTTTCCGAGTGACTACGGCAATGGTATCCTTTGATTTGAGGGGGTTGTTCCTTGCTCTCCTATTCTGTACTACTTCCTGCTTGCTTTCTGTTGACCTTGGGGCTCTACACATACGGTAGTCGCGCAATGATCTGGACTGCCCGTCTCCTTTCCTCGATGAAGACCCCACCTGTCGCTGCTATTGTTGTTGTGTTCACATGCAACAAAAAACTGTTTTGTTCATCCGTCCAGTTGACACGGACGCCTTTCGCGGCCACAAGCCAACTACCCAGAACACACAAATCGTGGACATTGTCATTGTGGACGTACTACCATTGCCATTGGGGACGTACTACGTCAACCCCAAAGCCTGGCCCCCGCCTATTGCACCCCACACAAGATTGCCTGCAGAAAGTAATGGAGAGTTGGCAAAACGGCGACTGGCCTCCAAAGCACGTCCAATACAGCATCCAGAACCTTGCGCGGCGCTCGCCATGTGCATAGCAACACCTAGTCCCATGAATGCAGGAGCTGGTGACGCCAAGCAAACGAACGATCCACTTTTACCCCTCTCGAAAAAGAGGGGCAATACACGGGGGAGGGAAGGATAGATGTTGTGGCGCATTGGTACTCTGAGCGGTGCTCCCTTCGGAAGTAAACCAGAGCCGCCCATGCCATACAATGGCATACACAAGCCGCGCATCGACAAACGCGGCACTACTCATCGCAGACAACAAGCAGGCCAGTCCACAGAAAATTAAAAAAACATGCTTGCAGCAGGAAGCAAGCCAGCCAGTCAGCTGCACTCGAAAAACATTCTCCTCGAAGGATTGCAGCAGGGTCGGCATGCGCGCTAGTCCACGATACTCCAAAAACACGTTCTCCTCGAAAGCTTGCCGCGAGCAAGCCAGTCCGCGTTGTTCAAAAAACATCCTCCTCGAAAGCTCGCAGCGCTCTCTCCCGGAGCGCGCCAGCCAACGGCTCAAACCACCCCATGCCCGTATCCCCCGCCCCGGTACCCAAGGCACCACCCCCCCCCCTGAGCCGCCTCCCGAGCACCACCAAGCCGCCATCAAGAGTGCGCAAGCCCGGGTGAATTCCCGACGTCTCGCACGCAAGCGCTGCCGCTCTGGCGTGTTCCCCCGCGGAGGCCATCGCGAGGAGCAGGAACTCCATCGAGGAGGTCGGCGGCGGTGGCAAGTCGGCGGTCGACGAGGACAACTGCTGCTGCTGCTGCTGCTGCTGCTGCTGCTGTTGGGGAAGAGGGCAGGACCAGAGCTTGCACCGCATCGCGACGGCCGCGAGGGAAGGGTAGAGAGCAGTCTTGGCCAGCTGCCCCAGAGACGGGCTGGTGGCGGGGGCGAACCGTGATGGCGGGCCCATCATTGTTGTTTGGAGGCATGCATGGGAGGGGAAGGCGGGATCATCGTGGTTAGGAAGGGATTCGGCCACGGCGCATGCCAAGGGACGAGTTCAGAGCGCAGCGGGCACGAACAACATCAGAGATGACAGAAAAGTGGAAGCCGGGAGTTTTGCAAAACTTCCCTCCTCCTACGCCCGTCCGGACTGCTGCCACTACCGCCACCACCACCACCGCTAAACCGGGCAACAGCGATCAGACGACCCAGCGACCTTTGACAAGCTGATCGATAATTCGGGTGGCTCAGTTCTGTGTGTTGGGAGTGTAGAGCAGCTGGGCCATGACGGGTCGTGGTAGGGGAGGGAGGTATAGGAAAAAGTATTCTAAAACGAATTGTCTTCTTCGGGGGCGTGCTCGTGCTCGTAAATCTGTCACGGCATCAAGCACGCGTCAAGCTCATCACGCTCAAACTACCAAACCGATCTCTCTGATTCCTCCGCATCTCATCACTGCAATTTCCGTGCGTACGTACTGAAGATCTTACCCGTCATACTATGCTACGAGTACCCCCAATATATCTAATACAAGCAACGTCCTAATGTCTATTGTGTCTCGTCACCTGGCGGTGACAACGCTCCATGACGTCGAGACCAAGCGACCGCCCCTGCCTGAAAAAATATATATACTGGCATCCCTCCCGAAGTCATGAAAAGCAAGCACGATACTACAGCAGACGACACTACGAGTACTGTACAGGCACGATGCGTATGATCACGAGGCTACTCGGCTGTTCAGTCGCTTTCGACCTAGGCATGACCCCTCACACACGCATCGGTCGCTCCTTCTGCAGGTGTAGCAAGCATGCAGTGCACGCCCGGGGGCAACAAAAAATGTTGTTTAACGATAATGACGGTCACTAAAGCCGAGTCCTGTATGTCGATGCATACCTCGAGAGAGCGAGATGCAAGGTGGAAACGTCCACGCTGGCAGTCGGGCCGCTATCGCTAGCGCTCAACTCGCTCGCCAACAGCTTCGTGGCGGCCACATGCCTGGATGGGTGAAGAGAGGCAAGCCCGACCTGAAACACGGCATGGTTCAACGTAAATCAACAAAAAAATGGCGGACGTTAGAAAACCGATAAGGCCGGGGGGGGGGGGGGGGGGGGGGGGGGACGCGG